GATTCAGCGTGGACCTCCTTTGAATGCCCACCGCCAACTACCTCCAGACATGGAGCCTGCAGTGACCATGGAAGGTAGACTTAAGACCCCTTTTAAATTTCTGAATGCAAGAGCAAATTCGCTGGCTAAGAGGGAGTTGCACTTTTCCTTTTTTTTGGCATGTATTTCTGTGGCTAAACTTGTCTGAGAGACACAGGAAACCCGTGTTTTCATTTTTCAAGGCGAATTGACAAGAAATTATTTTCTCTTTGATGGGGTTGGTGGAAGCAGCTACAGAAATCTTGAACCCTTGTAAAGCAGTCCCAAAGGTAAACCAGTGAATCAGGAGAGAAAATGGAGAGCCGCCTGCCCATTTCCAAAAGCTTTGTGGGTTTGTTGTGTGTGTGTTTTAAGTCACAGAAGAAAATCCCCATGGTCCAAACAAAATCCAACTATAAAAATCAAATAATTCCAACAATTAGCCACTGCAGTATGGCCTAGCTACTCATTCAATTTCTTCCGTAATCTCTTGTCTCGATAGCAATTATCTGATAAACACATAAATTCCCAGTCAACTCTAGCTTATTTTCATAAATTTTAAATCATAATGAGTACCAAATTCCAACCAAAGTGCATTTGTTTTTTTATTGCACTGAGCTTTGTAATTTGGTGTAACTCTGTGTGTGTGTGTGTCCGTGTTTTGCCAGCCTAACTCGAGAAAATCTCAACAGTGGTTTGTAAAAAAACCCTAAAAATGATGACACCCTTCTTAAAGTAACATTGGGTTTTAAATTGGAAACCTGTCTCCGTTTTTTTTTTTTTTTAATGAAGAGGATGAATAAATCAGAAAAAAAAAAAGTATATAATTAGCAATATAAATCTTTCACTGATTTGAGGAGGTCACCAGATGAACTGACGCAGACTTCAGACACATCTGCTCTTTTGGCAACCACTGCCTTTTCGGAGCCTTCTCATTGGCTCACGCTAATCATACGCGAGGCCTCCTGGAAGCGATTTGTGCCTCTCCGGGCAGAAGCGGGCAGAGCAGGGGCGACACTGCATTGCACAACTCGAAGTGAACAAGGGCCTGTGCAGAGCTCCGAGCTGTGTGTAACCTTTCAAAGGCCAACAGACGGGCGATGCAGGGACAGTGCGTTTTGACTGGAGTGTGGGCAGCAAGGAATAACCTTGCCAGGCCGAGGAACACGTTTCCCAGGCCCGGGAAGGCTGATGGACAGTTGCTGTAAATTGCTGGTATTTTCAGAAGAGGGGGTTAGTTGCCCACAAGGTGGCATTGTTAGCGCCAACTTCAGAAGGAGGCCCTTTGCTAGTTAAGCTCTGGAGGTGAGGTGCTGTGCAGTAGGGACATAAAGACCATCCTCATTAAATAATTCAAACTTGAATAAAGTCTTCTCTTTTAATACAAGTAAACAACAGGGAAGAGAATGGGCAAATAGTGTTGTGTTAACTAAAGGTTATTTTGCTGTCAGGCAAGAGGCCAAAAGCCAAGTTCCTTGGACAGTTCTGGTCATGAATTAACAATAGACATGATACCGTCACCCAGCGCACTGTTTTATAAATGCCATTGTAAACTGTTGGCTTTCTTAATCGCTAATGATGTGCTACACATCCTGGGTTCCAGGCTGAACTTAAACTGTGTATCTGCAAGTTCTGAGTGGGAACTGGAATCATAACAAACTCCTCCCTGTTCTTAATAAGCTGCAAAAAATGCTCCCATGCTTAGTAATGCATAGGAATAAGACACTTAGTCTTTTTGCATCAACGCAGGGTTGGAAGGCAGAATGTAATCCAAGTACAGTATTCTCAGTGTTCATGACCAGTTTCTTGCCTTTCATATTCTGGTAAATTACCTTTCTATTAAATAGGGGCGGTTTCACCTTAACTCTGAAACTCTTCTAGTTAGATAGGGTCAGCAGCTTCAGCGAGTTATGTAGATCAACGAAGTGAGTGTATTCCACTTGAAAACAATCCCTCACATTTGTAAAGTACTGTAAACTTAACAACAACCAAAAATAAATAAACAAGCAAACCAGCTGCCTTTGAGTCAATTCCGACTCTTGGCGACCCCGTGTGTTACAGAGTAAGGTTTTCTTGGCTATAATCTTTATGGAAGCAGACGGCTGGACCTTTCTTCCATGGCACTGCTGGGTGGATTTGAACCATTAACTTTTAGGTTAGCAGTCAAGTGCAAACAGTTTGAGCCACCCTGTTAAGCCCTTTGCTATCTGTTATTTTCATTTTGATCACTTATAATTGTATGTTTTGCATTTACAGTACTATGTGATCACATAATACTGTACATTTATACTTACATTTGAAGATGCACTTGTCTATTTTACGGAGCTGCTTTTGGTTTAGGATGAGCCGCTCTCAGTTTTAACTGAAGCTGGCCACTTAACACGCTTGTCCAGCTCTGAAGCAGAATAGGTTGGGGTCACACTTGAGAGCACACTACGTTTGGGAATGAAACTGGGGGAGGGGGCCTAAGGAGGAAGTAGGAGGTGGGTAGAGAAAGTCTGGAGCCCTCCCAGCAGTAAAGGCCCCAGCGCAGGGGCATCCCTGGCTGTGTGTCTCCTGAGGGAAGCCTGCCGAGCCTTTGTGCCTTGACACCATTCAAGATGCGGAGAAAAGAAAGAGAATAAAAAAGATCTACTATTTTTGAAAGCTCCCCTCATATTTTACTATTTTATTTAATTCTCCCCCTGCCACCTACTCTTATTTTCATCTCTTCAAAAATACAAAGAGTTTGTGAAGACAATAGGGCTATAACGTGCTTCCAGTGTCCATATATTCTAGTATCTCTTAAGGTCAGGACTATGACTGAGACGCCTAGGTTAACTTAGGTATTTCACTAAGAAGTGTATTTATGCCCCAATGCATAAAGTCTGGGAGTCTTTCATGTACCAGTAAATGTTCTTTATGCTACTTAAGAACTGCATAATTATTTTCGGGACTATCCTTACAGATACCACAAGTTAAACATTTCTAAAATTCACATGAAATTTGTTTATGGTAAAGTTGCATCATCATATACCCTCATCTCTGAGTTGTAACATGACCAAAAAATAATCTTTAAATCTGTAATAATTTATAACTCTAGGCACCCAACAACAGCAACAGCATGTCCTTGTTGAAACTAGATCTTCTCTTTAGCACTTTAACCCAGGTTTCTTGTAGATAATTACAGAGAAAATTCTTAATCAATTAATAAGAAAATCATGGTGATAGAGGGGGGAGGAGGAATGTGCACAGAATTTCTTTCATTGCTCTTACTTAGATGCTATGTTTGGTAAGACCTTACTAACCTGATTTTGTGTGCAGGAAATTGTTTATGACCTTAGGCTGTCTACTCCAAAAGAAGCTCAGAAAACTCAGTCTTGACCCAACCACTCAAATGTGTGAAGATTTAGAATTAAGTAACTGTGGGGATGGTTGTATTCTGAAGTCTATTTTAAAAGACAATTTTAACTAGCTGTTGATTTTGTTGAGTTGAGATGATAGTTAAGTGCGTTTATGCTCAGTTAGTAGTCTTCCCTATAGGAAATATATACTAATGTACAGTGGTGGGTACATCAAATATTTTTGAAACATCTCTATGTAGATTAATATAATATGACCTCAAAATATTATTCCTCTAAATTGCCGAAGAAAAATACTAAAACATTTACACTTTATTGAAGTGTCAGATCTGGTAATAATGTGTATAAAATGTGTGTGATAGAGCGAATCGAAAAGTCGAAAGGGTACATCCAAAGCTACAGGAATCACGAGAGTGCAAAGAAACTTATTTAAGGGTCTATAGAAATATTTTCCTTTTTTAAACTTCCTTATTACCAATCAAAGGTACTTATTTCAATATATTTTATTTAAGCTTAAATAAAAAGGGAATTGGATTCTTATTTTATTGCCTTTGTTGCTGATTTTTACTTCAAGTTGAATTCCTCAGATTTCCTGAGATCCTCAAACCTCCTACAATGCCCAACCATAAGGGCAAGGGCAGAAGAGTTCTTCCCACTGAACAAACAAAGCAGAGAATAGACACCAAAAATGTGGTTGAGTTTAGTTGAGTGAATGAAATAGGGTTTGGGGTAGCAGGACCCATCAGGGTATAGGGGTATTTGGGTTGTGAAAGTCATATGCAGCATCCTCTCATCTCTGTGGAACCCTCAAAATCTGGGAGGCTGGGCAGTCTCCTCCCTAGAAAAGTCTGAGGTGGATGATCTGAGATAGAACTGAGGCAGCTCAGGGCTTAGACCCATAACCTGTGCTTTTCATAATTAGTCTTTCCTGAGGGAGCCCCACACCCAACACCTTGGATAGTAGGTTGGAGCTCCCTGCAACCTACAAGAAGGAATCTCTGTTTCCTGAGACCTACTTTGGGTTTTTAACAGAGGAGTAGGTCCATGCTTAAATCCTTAGGCACTGTCTGTGGGATGGAACTGCAGAGGTGATGTGTAACTGGTCTGACAACTTGGGATTACAATCGGAACCAAGCAGATATCAAGGGACTGCTCCACACCCTCTGCGGCACATGGCCTTTCTCTTCTGATTTGCCAGGTGTGATGGTTAATTTTATGTGTCAACTTGGCTAGTCTATGGTTTCCAGTGGTTTTTCCAAATGCTAGACTAGTTACTGTCCCATAATGTAATCTAAAAAACTCGAACCCATTGCCATCAAGTCAATTCCAACTCATGGTGACCCTATAGGACCGAGTAGAACTGCCCCATAGAGTTTCCAAGGAGTGGCTGATGAATTTGAACTGATGACCCTTTCGTTAGCAGCCAACCTCTTAACCACTGTGCCACCAGGGCTCCATAATGTAATCCAGCCCAATGGTGGAATCACCCTCCATAATGTAATCTAATGTAATGTAATCAATCAATCAGTTAAAAGGGGAGTTCCTTGGGGTTTGGTCTGCCTTCAGACTATAAATAGATAATTTGGAAAAACTCATTCTCTTTCTGACTTCTGAAATATATCACTGATTCTGTTTTTCTAGAGAACCCTGCATAAGATGATACCAGGGAAGACTAGAATTACATATTCTGATGATGTCCACACGTGCAACACTTGATAAACCAAAAATAGAAAGGAGACAGAGAAAGGGACCTCCTAGCATGGAAAAGAAACCACCAAAAGGACATCCAAGGTATCTTTTTTTTTCCTAATGTATGTCACTCTTTGGGGTAACAAGGCCTAAGGCTTGATGTCTGGCACAAATGCAAAGAGGAAGCAGTTCTTCTTTTGTAGTGTAGAGGTGAACACTAACTCTTCTGAGATAAGTTTGACGATACCTTCTGTATTTTATAGGAGGTAGAAGGAGAGGGAGATGAATCACCTGTTATGTCTCTTGTCTAGGACAGAAAGGGAAGGTAATTTATTATCTTTTGATCTCAGTCTATAGAAAGGTAAAAAAAATAAATTTAATGAAGAATAACTTGTAGCAGACAAATAGAGCAGCTCCATAATTTCCCAAGCAGATCCCCTAATGGATCTTTTTCTGAAAATGTCCTTTCATACCAGTGCAACCTCTCACAATAAGGCAGGATTTTTAGTGAAAACGTTTTTCTGCTGTGATGCTGACAGCTGCTCAGTGGGATGGGGTCATAGAAGAGCACTGCAGGCAACCAGGGGACATTGGTTCTCGACCCCTGTGTCAACCTCTTGAGTTCCCAGGGTCGGGTCAGCATCCTAAGGACGCCTGTGGTCTCATTCTGGGACACCTCTGGGTATCCCACAGAAGAGGGGCATTCTTTGCCAAAAGCTTTCCCAGCACCATTTTGTGGCTTGCTTTGTAGAGTGATACTGTGGAGCAAGAAAACAAAAATGACTGAGGAGAGGAGGTTGGGGCAGAGACTGTCAAATCATTGGCAAGCCTGGAAACAACTGGCCTGCTCTCTAGCAAGTCTTTGCTGGGAATTATGGAATCTGACTGCAGGAGTTGGAGAGAAAGAGAGGATGCCTTTCAAAGGCTTTCTTTTTGCATCCATAAAAGAGGTCACTGGATCATAGTTACTGTACATTCTTATTACAGATTTTTATTTTTCAACCATTTGGCATATACTGAGTTATGATCTTTAACAGATGTGCACCCTATTATAGTAACACTCCACTCTTCTACGGCCGGATTTAAGGAAGCCTTGTGCTCCACGACAGAATCAAAGTAAGTACAAGTATCCAATGATCCTCAACTATTTGTCACAAATCCCTTGCCCTAGAGTTAGGCACTTGAGTTTTTCGGGAACTCACTTGAGCTTTTTCATTTCTTAGTTTGGATATATTTTCCTGGTCATAAGCAACATCGAAGAAGAGAAACTGAAGGGTGAGGAGAGCTGTTAAAAGGACAGGCAATGTGACAACTGACATTCTGCTCCAAAGAAAGGGAAATGGCAGGACAGAATTATAATCTGGCATTAAAAAAAAAAAAATACACTTGCTTCTAGGGACAACTCCAAGTTATCAAGAAAAGTGTAAATAATATAGCTATGCTCAGTATCCTCTGTTTAAGAAGGTAGAAATATAAAAGGCACATTTAAAGCAAATTTCCATGTGAAATGGTTAGAGGAGAAAACAGGTTTTTTTTTTTTAGAAAACAGTTTTGTACTTAGATGGTGACGTTTATGTTATTGTACAATGTGTTTGTGTGGAGCATGTTACCTCTAAAGATGGATAACATTGCAACTGGGCACATACAGTTGGAAGTTTTTAATATCATATTATGCTTAAAAACTTATTTTCAGAAATGAGTTAACATATATGGTTACTAAAAATGGTAGTAGTCACCCTACTACGTGGTGTACAGATAACTCTGCCCTTATATAAGGCTTATTTATAAAAGGCAGAAAATGAAGTGTTTCCCTTTCTATGAGAACAAATGTGTTTCTTTAGAGGGTGGCGGTGGGCTTGGCTTTCTTATTCTTTGGCAGGTCTGTGGGAACCCATTACCAATTCTACCTCAAAAAGGAAGGTTTCCAGGATGAAAGGAACCCCCACTTTTTTTGTTGTTGTTGTTGCCAAGGCTTATTTCAATTCTAGTTCTGAAACCTTGAAAAGGATCAAATTTTGAAAATCAAATAGCAAAAGAAACAAATGTTGACATAAATCATTATTCTGCTCGTCCATCCTATATTGACTATACCATGGACCGCCATAAGAATGAACCAACCTGTCTTGGAAAGCTGGCAGAAAGCTTCTTAGAAGCAAAGATGGTGAGACTTTGTCTCACGTACTTTGTACATGTTATCAGGAGGGATTAGTCCCTGGAGAAGGACATCATGCTCGGTAAAATAGAGGGTCAGTGAAAAAGAGAAAGACCCTCAATGAGATGGATTGACACAGTGGCTGCAACCATAGGCTCAAACATAGCAACGATTGTGAGAATGGCACAGGACTGGGCTGTGTTATACATAGGGTCGCTATGAGTTGGAACCAGCCTGATGGTACCTAACAACAACAACAACATCCTGTCCTCAGCATGGTTAACATGTATGAAAGGAAGATGAAATTTCCTCATAAATCTCTTAACTAGCCATGTTTTGCATATGGCAGGGATTTTGGGGGTACAGGGAGAGTCTCATCTAACCCCATTTTTCACATCCTGACACGTGACATGGAATTTCCCATTTGATCTCTTGAACTGCACAAATAATATTGAGCTGATAGTGCTCACCTACCTATCTAGATCTGGCTCATTTAAAATACTTTTTGCTCTTTTAATTCTGATGATTTTCACGGGACTTTGGGAATCCATTTACTAGGCCCACTGCAATGTTCATATTTATTCATGCAAAATAAAAACACATTTGTCCTGTCAGTGTGTTACATCTGTCAACACCATCCGCCAATGCCAGCCCTCGGCTTGAAATGTGAAGTCTGGTGGTCCCGTGTGATGTTAGGTAATTTAACAGCAAACGGATGTGTCAGGTGGGTTTAGGAGTGACCTTTAATTTGAGACATTATACCATCTTGAAAATAATAGTAACATGAAAGTGACAAGCTAGCGTATAAACAAGCAAGCAAAATGAAGGAATAAACTAAAACATATGTCTACATGATATTTAACTTGGAGACTATGCGTATCAAATCCTTACATTTGCTTCAAATCTGTGTAAGTTACTTGTTGGGACTGCATCTTTACCAAGTCTTCCCTCATCCTCTCCAGCCTCACCTCGATCATCAGAGGAGGTTCTAAGACTTCCCAAAATGCTAGTTTGGCACTCGGGGTCAGACATTTTCTGTGCCCCTATAGTCTAATTTCTAGATGGTCTATGAAAACTCCATCTTAATGAGAACTTTTCTTAGATTTCCTAATAACCAACTTCTGCACAGCCAATTAGAAGGGACCAGTGAGCACGGGAAACAACCTGAAGCGCTCGTCTGCTCCAGCCCTCTGCTTTGAAGAAGTAAGATATACCCATTTTAGGGACATAGTTGAGGCTCGGGGAGACAGAAAGGAAAGGAAAGCAAAGGGAGCACATTGCATATGCTATATTTTAGAACTTCTCTCTGAGCTTGCGTCAATAGTGATCTGTTATAGATCTCTTTTTATTTTAGAGATAAACCAAAAGCCAAACCCGTTGCCACTGAGTCGATTCCGACTCATAGCGTCCCTATAGGACAGAGTAGAACTGTCCCATACGATTTCCAAGGAGTGCCTGGTGGATTCGAACTGCTGACCTTCTGGTTAGCAGCTGAACTCCTAACCACTATGCCACCAGGGTTTATTATTTTTAAATCTTCCTGTGGGAGTGAATTTCATAAAATGGAAATAATAATCATATCTATTTGGTAGGGCTGTTGTGAGGGTCAGAAGAATCACAGTATGTAAAGTTCAATGACTATCTGTTATTCTAATGCTACTCCATAGCCTCTGCGCCACACTTGCAGGGCAGAGAGTTGTTGTTGCTATTAGTTGCCATCAGCACGTGTCAAAGTTGAACTATGCTGCACAGGATTTTCAAGGCTGTGACCTTTCGGAAGCATTTCACTAAGCCTTTCTTTCCAAGGACCTCTGGAGGGGTTTGGCTAGTAATCGAGCACTTAATCGTTCGCACAACAAAATGTAATTTAGTTACAAAAAACAACCTAAAACTTTTGAGTTAGAAAAAACCTTAAAAACAAAACCGCCTACTACCCCCTCACTTTATAAAGAAAGACACTAAGTCAGAGAGGAGTGTAGTGACTTGCCGAGGTTACCCACATAGGGATGAGAATGAGACAAGTGCTCGTCTCTTCATTCCTCCTTCAAGTCTTCTCTCCACAGTGTTTTCAATCCAGCATATTCAGCTATGTAGACACACTCTATGGGGGCAGTGGTGGTTCTGTGGTAGTATTCTCACCTTCCACGTGAGAGACCCAGGTTTGAATCCTGGCCAATGTACCTTATGCACAGCCATCACTCTTTAGTAATGGCTTGTGTGTTGTTACGATGCTGAACAGGATCCCGCTGAGACTAAGAGGAACAAGGAAGAAAGGCCTGATGAGCTACTTCCAAAAATCAGCCAATGAAATTCTATGGGTTACAACAGTCCCATCCTTAATCGATCATTGGAATGACCTAGACCAAGGCAGCATTTCCTTCCTTTGTGTATGGGGTTGCCATGAGTTGGGAGCCATTTCCATGGCAGCTAACGGTAACAACAACAAAAGACATATTCGAAGACACCTTTGTGGAATAAGTTGCATTTCTTAGAAAAACCACTGGCATTCCAGGGCCAAGAACTTGACTTAGCAAAGTACTTATGCAAGACAATTACGGTTAAACGCAACCACTGTTCTAATTGTTCTTTTTGATGGTCCAATGTGTCTCAGAGAACCCAGTGTACACATTCTCTATGCCAGAGACGGGAGCCCCCAGTCAGACAGAGCCACTATCTTCCTAACCCCCAGAAAAGGCCCTTAACCACGAACAATATGCATTTTATAATGAGGACTAAGTGTCTATTAGAAATCGAATCACTTCAGCATTCCACAATGAATCAAATATCTGGATCTAGGAGCAGAAGAAAGTTTGCCTGCATGTAGGCATCATAAGGCTAAAGAAAGAGTAGATACACTTGGGAAAGAGAAAATAGGCTGAACGGAAGAGTGTGAGAAAATTAGCTCAGCTGATTTAATGTGAACATCTGCAGAAATTGTTAATGGGCGCTGTGTCTAATTAAATCCACCAGACATATGCATGCCTGTTATCTCTGGAACGGTGTTCTTCCCCACGCAGCACCTGTTGCTGGCAGGGTAGACTTGCATTCTGTCACGTGCAAAGTCAAAAGGGCGAGAGGGAGAGAAATTGGAGTCTCCAGTCTTTGATTCCCTTTGTTGCTGCTGTTGTTAGGTGCTGTCGAGTGAGTTCTGACTCATAGCAACCCTATAGGACAGAGTAGAACAGCCCCATAGGGTTTCCAAGGAGCGGCTGGTGGATTCGAACTGCCAACCTTTTGGTTAGCAGCTGAGCTCTTGACCCCTTTGATTCCCTTAGAGACAAGCATATCAGCAGTAGGAGACAGCCACATTCAGAACTCGAATCCAGACTGGAAAGGCAGATACATTGAGACTTCACTACTATCCAAACCACCAACCTGGAGCTTCCCAGAACACTGAGTGAGGCAGTAGTCCTCTGGGTGGTGTCTATTTGGGAAACAAATTTATAATGTGTACCAGATTTCTAAGAGCGTCTTTAGCCTGTTCCACCACAGGGCAAAACGTGTAAGTGCCTATCAGTCTCCGTTGGTTTACAAATGACTATTGTGCAAATAACAAGTGATGTTTGCACATCACAACTGGCTTGTTTCCAGCAGATATTCCCTGGGTTATTCCAAATTTTGTGTCAAGCTATATCCCAAGTTGTTCCTTTGATACATTGGTCTCCTCACTAATTCAGGCAGAGAGTCCCCAATTCAGTGAGTGTTGCTGCTTCACCTAATTCTCTGGGCCTCCAGCGGGTACGAATGCAGCCTGGGAGTCAAGAAGATGAGAGTTTCAGTGCCAGCTCCCCGTTTGCTGGCTAGATGACCTCTCAGCAGGTCACTTCAGCTTTTTGGGCTTTGTTTTCTCATAGGTAAGATGGTGATGATAATAGCACCTACCTCATAGGGCTCTTTTGAGGTATTTAAATGAAGCAATCCGAGTCAAGTGCTTAGAGTTGTGCCTCCACAATGGAGATGCCCCATTAATGTCAGATGCTTTTATTAGTTATTACTGAGCAAGCCATTTCCGGTGGATATCCAGTGTGGCTCAGCGCTCAGATTTGTCTTAAGGAGGAGAGAAATGCAGATAGAAAACTAAGCCTGAGTTTAAATAGACAAATTTAAAGATCTGTAATATTATTTAGACACAGAATGTTATTTATCTCAGTTCCATATACTAATAGTTGCTTTATCACATCCATACCTTCTCCCTTACCACTCCTACACACAGATATACATGTTCCTGGGCAAATGGGCTTTGGTGGATTAAAACTTAGGCTAATATACAGGAAAGTTATGTTTTGGTTAGATTTTCCCGCTTACGCTGTAAAAATGTATATGGTCACTAAACCAGTTGTTGTAGAGTCGATTCCAACCCTCGGCAACCCCATGTGGGGCAGAATGGAACTGTGATCCATATGGTTTTCAATAGCTGATTTTTTGGAAGTAGATCACCAGGCCTTTCTTCTCTGGGTGGACTTGAACCCCCAGTTCTAACCTTTTAATTAGTAGTCGAGTGCATTAACTGTTTGCACCACCACTTGCTTTTTAGCTAATGAAATTGTAACAAGGGAAGTTTTCAAATCCAGTATTGCTTGCACATAGTTTAATGAAGGAATTCTCAGAAATATACCCTGGGGGGAGTGTGTGTGTGTGTATGTGTGTGTGTGTGGAATAGGCAATAAGAAATGAGAATGGGATATTCAGTTTCTTTATATAGTGTATCCCCAACTACTTGGACAAAATACCTACATTTCCCCCTTTCTCATGTCCATACACCAACCCATAGTGACCTAACCAAGATAAATGAGATAATGTGTGTAAAGCATTTTGTAGTCTTAGCAAGAGTTCTTGAATATAAGTCTATGGATGCCGTGTAACTTCTGCAATAACAATGCTCAAGGGTGGGGAGGCATTCTGTAGAGGGAGACACATGAATCACTGTTATTGGCATTGGACTCATCATGGGACTTCTTAACGGATACTTTGCTATTTTTAATCTCCGTTACCTGCTTTTATTTCAGCAGTAATGAGATCAGAATGGTGATTAAAACAGAATAGTTTAAAACACAATGCATTATTCCTGAGATAATGTATTTGAGCTTATTGAAGTTTAACACTTTTATCTATCCATTAATTTAACATAATTTATTCCATTAGACTTATAAATAATATTTTGTGTTGTTTTAAATGAACGTATGGGTCCATTTTGGTAAGGTATTTGGAAACTTTATAAAGCACGTTAGAAAAAAAGAGTACTAAATAAACATTCATATTCACATCTCCTCCTTATCACATCTTGAGAAATTTCTTCTCAAATTAACCCCCATGGAGTAAAACTCTGTGTAAACAGATGGACTTTGCACCTTGCCCTAAAGGTCAGCTGGCTGGAGCGCTGTGAGTCTGGCAGCAAATCCCTTAGTCAAGGGCGTTCCCATAAGAAAAGCTTCGTCTTCATTTCAATTCTAGTGACATGAACGGGATAGGCTTCCATCACAGACACAGCACTCAGGTAGGTTTCCAAAGGATTCTATTAGCAAATGATGAAGATGGCAATGGTGATGATGATGGTGGTGAAAGTGTCAAGCACTTTATGCTTCTCGAGGTGCTTTCACATGCAGCCTCACAATGGAACCTTACAACATCAGATCATGAGAAGTGCATATACAAAACATTTTCCCCCAGGAAAAGAAAAAAACGTATAATTCGATCTGGGTTCTTAGGTTTCTCACATTTAAATGGACTTTAATATAGGTTTGAATGTATATCTGAAAAGCTTTCAAGTTTTTTGTTGTGCAATCTAGAGTAATAATAATACTAATAACCTCTGGTTTGGAACTACAGAACTATAAATTGTTCAAACACAACATTTTTGCACACGTTTTCTGACACTGTTGTAAGAATAATCAATAGGAAATATGCTCCCCATAATGACTGTTAGGTGATGATGCATGCTGTAGCTGAATCGTTCTGCAGGAATCTGAGTGTTCTCCCCAAGAAAACTCAGGAATGTAGTTATTTTCTGCCCTGCTCTTCACTGAGTCCTTGGACAGTACCCATTTTACATTTTCAAATGGAAATGCTTGCTACAGTGTGTGTTTGACAGAGCACAAAGTATGTTTCTATACAGAGTGCCTGCTAGATCTTCTCGGTGACCATAGTACAGTTCAAAAGAACTTTGTTCAGGGTCCAGCTAAATTTTTTTTTGTGTGTGTGCCCTACAACCATTGTTGGAGTGTCAAATGGGCATCTCTCTCATCTCCCAGATTGATGGCATCGTCTCGGACTTCCCACATAGACAAGATAAACTAAAGGCTTCTATGGACAGGTATGTAACTGTGGAGACAGCAGCCCTGCAGAAGAGGCCTCCTCACCAGAAAGAATGTCTGTCCCACAGTCAGCTCTCTGGCTCTGCAGTCACCTTTGACATGACTTGCTGAATGGGAGTTTGTTTTCCAATTTCCATGGTTCAGCCATAGGCCATGCAAAGTAAATACTAGTAAATGAGCAACAGTAGGTTCAAAGGAACATAAGACTAGAAGCCCTCCTCCTTTGGAAGACAGTTTGGGTAGCATTCACATGTGAATCAATCTGTTTGGGGTCTTTGAAGTGACTTTGATTAAGAGCATGGCCCAGTAGTAGTGAAATGGGCAGGGCCATCAAAAGAATTGGCGGTTCCAATATGGACCCTCAGCCCGGGCACCACGTCCAAAGAGAGCCCCAGGTAACGGCCCTATACCCAGAGTGCTCTCTGTCTCAAACAACCAAACCAGGAACTCACTACCGTAGAGGTTTGCATGGACATGGGTTTTGGGTGAAGCAAAGAAAATATGCTTTGAGGTTTCATGTTCCTAAGGATCAGCAGTAAATTAACTCACAATTCATTAGAATCTTTTTCAGTGTTCTTTAATGAGTAGAAAAAAGGATTCCGTTTTAAAAAGCAAGCACTTTATATATTTCCAATAGACATAATGTATCTGTATTTGAATAAAAACAAAAAATACTGATAATGCCAAAACTTCCAGAAACTACATAAAATCAAATGCAGTCCACTAAACTCTCCTTGATTGTATTAGAAATGTTAAAATGAATGAATATTTACATCTGGTAAGCTTACAAGAATGCAACAAATTTTTAGAAAAAGAAAAAAAAAACGACTTCTTGAAAAACTATACCTACTTTCTACCTACCTTGGCTACATCAGAGAAATTTTTAAAATAATTTAAGAATTGCCTTCCTTTGCTTTTTTTCCCTCAATTCAAAGTCATTGTAAAATTTGCATCCATTTCCTTCATGTTTTCCAATTTAACTTAATTTTCTCCCCCCTTAAAAATACGCTTCACTGCCTGTTGCTACATACTGTGGAATTAGCTTTTCATTCTCAAACAAACGTAGATTAATCTTGGGAGCCAAACAAAAGGAAATAGTCAAGATCAGCAGTAGAGCTGGCGTAGTGGAAAAAACACAGGCTTTGGGGGTCAGACAGAAATCAATAACTAAACGACCTGGCCAGTCACCCCACCTTTCAGAGCCTTAGTTTAACTATGTGAAAAATGGGAACATAATGCCTCTTCCTAAGTTGCTGCAAATATTAGATATAAACAATGTGAACCATAAATTATGCAGTTAGATGTTCAAAAATGGTAATTATTAGTATTAAGTATCTTACGCCTGTTTTCTGATTTTCATCAAATCTGCTATCGGTTTCTTTCAGGTTGGTGCTTCTTTGTCTCGGAGCAGCACTGTATTTTATGCTAACATTTCCAGTTTTCATGAGATATGAATCACAAATACACATATACACGATTGATTCTTAAGTTAATTTCTTTTAGAGTTAGTTATTTACACTTAATAAAGATGATGAATAGGTTCTAGAACCATAATTTAAAATGGGTATGAAAACCAGAACTACATAATTACTGGCTTAAAGTATAATGAGGACACACAGATCCCATTCTAACAAGAATATTTGAATTGTTACCCAATATGTTCAGAGGAGTAGGGACTCTACCTAGCGTGGGAAAATCACAGTTGCTTTCTCTGGGCTGCAGATATCTGAAATTCATCATACTCTCCCGTCCTACTGACTACTCCCACTGTGCCATTTCTGGCTAAGCCTCTGGTCCTTTTAATCTATGGCCAAAAAGGGACAAATGCTGCAGGTCGCAGCAAATTTTATCCTCTAAAAAACTGAAAGAGCTGTTTACATTGTAAGAAAAGAGATTATTTCATAATCTTTAGAAGACCCTGAGGGCCCCAAAGGAATATTACTGTGAATAAATATATGTCTGCTAAGAAAGTCATATATTTATATAGTAAATCACTCACCATCCAAATGCCAAGGCTGGTCCTTCTGAGTCCAGTGAGGTGGGACCTAGCAGAGGAGGTGGCTCAGGTTTCTCTGTTCAGGCAGTGTTAGTGAACTCTGGATGAAAGGGTTAGAGGGAGCCCTTGTGGTGCAACGGTTACATAAGCACTCAGTTGCTAACCAAATTGTTGGAGGTTCCAACCTACCTAGCAGCTCTGCAGGAGAAAATCTGGCTATCTGCTCCTATAAAGATTACAGCCTAGAAAACCTTACGGGGCAGTTCTACTCTGTCGCATGGGGTTGCTAGGAGGTCAAAATGGACTCCATGGCATCTAACAACAAGTTGCATATTTAAAAATGTGGGTGATGCAAATGGTTAACGCATTAGGCTTCTAAGAGGTTTGAGTCCACCCAGAGGCAACTTGGAAGAAAGGCCGGTGATCTACATTGAAAACTCTATGGAGCACAGTTCTACTCTGACACACATGTGGTTGCCATGAGTCAGAGTCAGCTCGACAGTTTACACTGCGTTAAGGAAGGGTAAGAAAACTTAGGGAACTTGAGATTTTTCGTAGACTAACATACAAGTGCTGCTGGAATCACTTTCCTATGTTTCAGCTCATCAGTTTGCCCTCATCCAGCCCAACCAGTGCATGCCATCAAGTATATGAATGCAGACTGTGCCAAAGACTCATTATCTTGGATCCTAACGCCACCCTCAAACAACCCCCCCTTGCAAATATGTCATTTCTCTAAGGAATTAAAAACACCTCTGTAATTCACATGACAATCCTGCTAGTAGACTTAATTCATTAAAGATGGGAATAATACACTTATTTTCCTTCATCATATCTACATACTCAACATGTTAAAAAGAGTTACATGCTTCCTCTAGCCCCGTACTTCTTTTAAAGAAAGCAAAACATTTCAAGTTGCCAGTAAAAGTTCAGACGGAAGGGTTGAGACAATAAGGGGGAATCATCCTTTTTACATTTTTTTAATAAGACACTTCAGGAGACTCTACTCTTGATGTGGCAGAGACTAGAGTTGGGGAAAGGAGTCTTGGTGGCACAGTGGTTAAAGTGCTCAGCTGCCAAGCAAAAGGTTGGTGATTTGAACCCAGCAGCTGCTTCATGGGAGAAAGATGTGGCAGTCTGCTTTTGACAAGATTTACAGTCTTGGAAACTCTATAGGGCAGTTCTACTCTATCCTATAGGGTTGCTATGAGTCAGAATCAACTCGATGGCATTGGGTTGGTTTTTGGTTTAGAGTTGGGGAAGATTCATGAAAATAGAGCATTTAGAAATAAAAGCTGGTGAAGCAAGAATCAGAAGAAAAGAGACCCAAGGGTATAATCAAGTAGTCAAGAAGACAAGAAAGGAAAATAAGAAGAGAGAAATTTTTGGAGTGGGTAGCCACTGTTGTCATCTCCTAAAACCAAGAGAATGGGGGACAGTTCCCATATAAAGGAGAAAAGAAGGGACAGCGCCTTTTCCAAGTGGGGCCACATCACAATCACAGAGGTGACTTGTTTCAGCTGTTACTATGAAAAAACAAAACGCTGTGCTCTGCTTACTTGTGTTCATCGGCTTCATTAGGTTAGAAAATATTTCTTTTAGGGTTTTATTTGGCAATTATTTACAAATAGCTATTATTTATAAGTGGTAACCATTCATACTTAGTGGAAACCTAATCAATGCATGCTACAGCAAACATTATTATAAAGTAATCCCAGTTCTAATGATCCTTGATAATCCTGGATTTCAGATAGCATCTGAGTTGGAAACGTCTGACTGTGACCTACATTCTCTCTGATTACATGGGATTTGATCTTTGGTTTAGACGTCGCCTCCCTCTAGTGTTACGACAATCATTATAATACTCCATTTCAATTTGTGTAATATTTTTTATGGTTTACAAAGTGATTTCACATGCATTGTATTTACAATGAAAGACAGATAATATTTTGATTTTATAGGTAAGTAAATTGAGGCACAAAGTAAGTAGCAGGGGAAGGACTCAAAGCCAGGCTTTTTAACTCCACATTTAACACTCCTTCCGTCAACAAGTGTACAAATTAAATGCCCTGGACACTTTACATGCCTTCCATAAGTCTCCAAAAAGATGCAGTGGTGACAGTTATTAGCATTGGTACTGAGGCTGCAGAATTGCTTAACACTGCCCCACATGTCTTATTAAAAAAGATCCTAAAACTGCTTCAAGAGTTGGGCAGAACACCGTCCTTTAGGGCTGGAACGATGTGACACCACTGATTGACACAAACTCAGCTCAGACCTCAGGATGAGTGGGGAGAAGACAAGCCAAGTCACAATCCAAATTAGTGCGGCAGTTCCTGCAGCAAGAGAAACACAATGTGGTCTTTTACTAACCTTTCAATGCCCTGTGTAGCTTGAACTCTGATGGCACTTGTTAAAGAAGAGCAGGGCGGTGCAGAGCTGACAGCCTGGAACATTGACCAACATGCTGCAACTGACGTGTAAATCACCCTCCGACTAGGGGTCCTGGATCTGGAAAAGGACGTGTCATCTTCTGACTCTGCCCATCATGTGTTTATGTATAAATGGTCCATTCAGGTGCTTCTGTCCATCTTTGCAGACAAATGACATAATGCAGAGATAAAATTTTTATAGGATATTCCCAAGAGTGACTGTAGTTTTTTGTTTTTTTAAATTTTTTGTTGTGATAAAATGTTGTTAGTTGCTGTCGAGTTGGCTGTGACTCCTGGCGACCTCATGTATAACAGAAGGAAACGTTGCCAAGTCCTGTGCCATCTTCACGATGGTTGGTACGTTTGAGTCCTTTGTTGTGGCTATTGTGTCAATCCCTCTCGTTTTCCCTTACCCTCTCATTAACCAAAGACGATGTCCTTTTCTAAGAAGCCCTGGTGGCACAGTCATAAAAGAGATCGACTGCTAACTGAGAGGTCGGTGATCTGATGGTCGAAAACCACCAGCCGCTCTGAGGGAGCAAGATGTGGCAGTCTACGTCCGTAGAGATTTATAGCCTCGAAACCCTATGGGGTCGCTATGAGTCAGAATCGACTCGTCGGCAGTGGGTTGGATGTCCTTTTCTACTATTGTTCTTTCCTGATGGTGTGTCCCGAGTAAGTAAGCTGAAGTTTCGCCATTCTTACTTAAAACATAAATAACATAAAAGTTACCATTTAAACCTTTTAAGTGTACAACTTAGTCGTATTAAGTACATTCACAATGTTGTGTAATGATCACCACCATCTATTTCTAGAACATTTTCATCATCCCAAATAGAGACTGTCTGCTTATTAATCAATAACTCTCTATTTCCCCGTTCCCCTAGCCCCTGGTAACCACTATTCTACTTTCTGTCTCTATGAATTGACCTATTCTAGATACTGCATTTCAGTGGAATCATATGATATTTTTCCTTTGGTGACTGGTTTTTTTCCCTTAGTGTATTTTCGAGGTTCATCCATGCTGTAGAATTTATCAGAACCTCATTCCTTTTTATGACTGAATAATATTCCATCGAATGTATGTACCACATTTTGTTTATCATTTATCTGTTGTTTACACCTTTGAGCTGTTGTGAGTAGTGCTGCTATGAACACTGGTCTACTAGTATCTGTGTGAGTCTCTGCTTCCAAGTCTTTTAGGTATATACTCAAGAGTGGAATTGCTGGGTCGTGTGGTAAGTTTTCTGCCAAGAAATTTGGAAGACTGCTGCCTGACCAACCGACTGGAAGAGATCCATATTTATGCCTATTCCCAAGAAAGGTGATCCAACCGAATGTGGAAATTATCGAACAATATCATTAATATCACACACCAGTAAAATTTTGCTAAAGATCATGCAAAAGTGGCTGCAGCAGTATATCAACAGGGAACTGCCAGAAATTCAAGCTGGATTTGGAAGAGGATGTGGAACCAGGGATATGATTGCTGATGTCAGATGGATCCTGGCTGAAAGCAGAGAATACCAGTGTCTTACTCATCTAGTGCTGCTATAACAGAAATACCACAAGTGGATGGTTTTAATGAACAGAAGTTTATTTCCTCACGGTTAAAGTAGGCTAAAAGTCCAAATTCCGGGCGTCATCTCCAGGGGAAGGCTTTTTCTCTCTGCCGGCCTTCTTCTCTTCAGTATTCCCCCGGACTAGGAGCTTCTCCGCGCAGGGACCCCGGTCCAAAGGACACACTCTGCTCCAGGCACTGCTTTCTTGATGGTATGAGGTCCCCCTATCTCTCTGCTCACTTCTGTCTTTTATATCTCAAGAGATTGCCTCAGGACACAATCCTATCTTGTAGATTGAGTCCTGCCTTATTAACACAACTGCCACCCATCCTCCCTCATTAACATCATAGAGACAGGATTTACAACAATAGGAAAATCACACCGTACCAGGAATCATGACCCAGACAAACTGACACACACGTTTTTTGGGAGACATAATTCAACCCATGACAAACAGAAAGATGTTTACCTGTGTTTCATTGACTATGCAAAGGCATTTGACTGGGTGGATCATAACAAATTATAGATAACATTGCAAAGAATGGGAATTCCAGAACACTTAATTGTGCTCATGAGGAACCTGTACACAGATCAAGAGGCAGTTGTTCAGACAGAACAAGGGGATACTGCGTGGTTTAAAGTCAGGAAAGGTGTGTGTCAGGGTTGTAACACCATACCTATTCAATAAGTATGCTGAGCAAATAATCTGAGAAGCTGGACTATATGAAGAAGAAAGGGGCATCGGGATTGGATCATATCAAACATATCATATCAAACAACCTTTGATATGCAGATGACACAACCTTGCTTGTTGAAAGTGAAGAGGACTTGAAGCACTTACTGGTGAAGATCAAAGACCACAGCCTTCAGTGTGGATTACACCTCAACATAAAGAAAACAAAAATCCTCACAGCTGGACCAATAAGCAACATC